TCAAACTCAGAGTAAAATTAAAGGAAAATAATCTCAGTTTTTTGCCAAATCAAATTTGAGAGCACTTGATGCAATGCTCCAAGCAGGACATTTGCAGCCGCTCTAAATTATAATTCTTGGGCTCATATTTAATGGCCTGACCGCTTGTAAGAGCAGTGAGATAAAGGAGCAGTGGGGGTGGATCCTCGTGGCATTGTGTAATCAGGACGTGGTGATGAGAAAAGGTCATTTGTGCTAATGCAACATTTTTTATTCTACGAGAAAGACGTCAACTTTGATAGATGATCCAAAGGTCACCTGTGTCATCACACCCATTCTGTCCTGCAGGGTGATGCAAAACAGATCTGATGACTGCCCTCCACACTCTGCACTCCATCAGAGTACAAGAGAGCGAACAGCTCATCTGGTGGGTGGATAAGGGCCTGGGTGGGGCTCTTTCGCTCACATGATGAACAACCTTGCTTGCAACCTTACTCCTAATGTTAACTCATTGACTGAGGGGGAATCCTGCGAGCTTAAGGTTCAGTTGCTTCCTCGCTGACATGTAAGCCATGCAGCCGCAGATTTACGGCCTTTTGATCTGTATCAGCAACTTTAACCGTAATGAAAAGTCTGGGTCCTCACACCCCAAGATGCTGCGTGGATAAACACAATTCATACTGAGCAAATGAATCACCTACTTAATATGCACAGGAGCAGTAATCATTATCTAGCTAGCTCATAAGCATTATACTCATAGCCTACCAGTAAACAAAGCTTATTAAATCACTTTTTTTCAATTAACTCTTTGAGAAATGATCCTGAAAAAAAAAAATACTGTGAACGTGATGTGGGAAAATGAAGAGTGGCATTGTCTTTTTTCTAATGCCTTACCAATTCATTGCTAAATCACATAGCAAGGAAACTTAAAAAGGGGCATATGTACTCAGAGAAGTGGAATTAGATGTCTCAATTTAATTGACCTGCTATAATCAACAACATCAGAATGAATATGGCTTAACAGATTTTTCTTGTCTCACCTAAAGAAAAGTGCTCACCAACTCTGAGAAATGTTCTGTTCCGCAGAAGCAGGTCATACTGTACCCATGAGGGAACTACATATAAAACCACACTGGGAGGTAATCCATCTTATATATGAGCCAGTATTACAATGCAGAAATATAAGAGTTGTGATACGCAGTGACACTCATTGTCATCATAATTGAATTAGGCAGAAAATCAGCTAATATTCACAAGAATTTCAGAATCTCTCAATCTACGATTTAATTACCTGGAAGGATGAAACTGAAAAAATGAGAAAGCACGCTTTTTGAAAGTGCTCTGGATCTGTCCCACATTGGCAATGCAGAACTCAGTAGTGCAGCAAAGCGGAGGTAATACCCCTTAGAGATGAAGCAGAAGTGCAGCAACAGCACAGTGCACATGTGGAAAAGGTGACCACTGTGCTGTTTAGGCCGTGTTTGGCTTCTCTTTGTATATCTATCTCGTGGCCACAATTCAAACAAGATCTGATGTCTTCCTCCCTTGATGCACGCTCTTATCACACAACACAGATGTCTGAGCGGATGCCAACGGGCTCAGGTCTGTGATGAGAACTCCTAGTTATGCGTGGTGGCATCCGGTGCGAGCTCTGGCTTCCGAAGGGCAGACAGATAAATTATTCAGCCTGAAGTTTTGCATCAACACGGCTCAGATGGCAGCACATGAGAGGGATTAATTTATGCAACATCCATGAGAGGACAAGTAGATGTCTCAAAGCTATAAGTTGAGTGAGAGGTGCTCATATGTCTGTGGAGAGGCAAATAATGGATGAATTGCTAATTGCTGAGTTACTGTAGACTGAGACATCTTTGTTTTTGTGATGCAGGTGATGAAGAAAACAACAAAGCAATGCCTCATGGGCTGTTTACTCCGCCTCTACTCATATTATTATATTGTTGACTTGAGTTATTGTTTTCAGATTATTTTGGTCTGTCTGAAATCTTTTGAATCTTATTTAAAAACACTAATTTAGGGTTTATTAAGAAAAAAAAAAGATGCACTAAGGCAACAAAGAGTGTCCCAGCTAATAAATGAAATAAAAACCCAGCGGCGGTGTTACTGAAAAAAAAGTTGATGTGTTTTATTGTCGAAAGCAATCAGCTTTAATCATCTCAGCTGAACAGAAATTAGTTTAAGCACAACGGGTGTTGATGGCGAATAAATGAGGAGTGTTACTTTAGTGATAAAGCTCTGACGACAGACACGGTCGCCTCCTGTTTGCCTGAACGACTTTGACAATGCTGGCATTACTGAACAGATATTGTTGACTGACATGGGGAGCCCTGTCAGAGGAGCATGAGCAGACAATTAGCATTCCATGACATTTTCCCATCCGTCCAGAAAGCAGAGGTGGCCCTGTAAACAAAGTGCTGTTGCGGTGCATGGCAAGGAGAAAAGGGAATAGAATGTAATGTAAAATGGCATTGTTCAGTGGTTGAGATACCAGGTGCGCATTCTAATGCGGATCTACAGGGCAACCTCTGGCTGGCTGAAACAAAGGAGGGAGACGATAAGGGAGTGGACGAATGGGACATGCAGCAGGATAATTGAAAGTGCTTGGGATTTTAAAGGCCAAATGCTACCAGAGGTTATCAGCCGCAAAAACAATCTGAATTTTTTATGGGAGTAACTTATTATCCGGACAAAAGGGAGGTTTGTCACGCTTCACAGGACACGCAGGATAAAACAAGATCATAAAGGCCACAAGCAAACTTTAGAGTGCCTTTAATGCACTGTAAAATTACTTTTAGCACCTTGTGTGAAGGAACAACATGTGGATTGTGTACTCAACACCCTTTTGAATAAATGTGCTCCAGTTAGCACAAGCCGTTCCCTTCCCAGTAATTGTCTGTGAATTGGAACAAACTCCATAATGTGGTGTTGATGTTGTTTTTTTTTGTTGTTATGAATACCCACACACACATACAAGAGATCACCACTCGGATATCAGTAAAGAGGCTTACATCATTGCTAGTTACCATGCAGGGCAACACAAATCTGAAAATAAAGGTGAGAACTGCAGAATATGACATAATGCGTTTCTGATTGCCCATCCTAGAGCTACAAATTCCCACAACAGCACCGTGGGAGAAAGACACATCGACACTAAACAATATTGTTGAGACAACGAAATGTTTTGTCATGTTGAGGATGCCGCATGTGCTCACACTCACATTGGCGTGCTCCCACACATCCTACACAAAACACTGCCATAGCATTCTCTAAATCGGCGAGCAGCCTTAGGAAAGCCCCGAGGCTAAAGCGAGACTGATGACAAAATCTGCATCTCATAAAACTGTAACACTCTCCCGCTGTTCCCTCGGGGTACAGGGCTGAAAAACACCACAACTGGCAGATTCCTCCACTCCTGCTAAAAAAATAACAACTTGCCTTTCAGGAGTATGGACACAGCTTGGACTACAGGAAAGCTGACTATATGTTGGAGAGGGCCTGTTAGCCCCTGGAGCAAGGCCTCATTGTGTGGAAGGAGCCAAAACTGTGTAAACACATCATCCTGACATGCATTACTGTATTTGTCAGTATTGTAAAAACAGCAAATTGCAGCCTGGCCTTGTAATAACCTTTTATGACTGCAATATCTTTATAGTTCAGTAATAGTTCACAATGGTGGTAAATAAAAGTATGCTTTTCTTGCTTTCTTGCCATGGGTCACATGAGAAAATTGTCAGTAAAAGTCAGAAAAATTCAGTCTCATGTTAGTGCATTAAGAGCCAGGAGACGATTAGCTTAGCCAAGCATTAAGACTGGAAGCAGGGGAAACAGCTAGCCTGGGTGGGAGTTAGATCAGAAGACTGATTACACACTTATTTCTGTACTGTTAATATGAAGCTATAGAGTCAGTAGACAGTTAGCTTAGCTTAGCATAAAGACTGCAGGCAGCTAGCCCGGTGCTGTTGAAAACAAATGTTTTCATGGCGAGAATGTTGTCAAAATGTTGACAGCACATTATCTTAAATGCACCCTTTAGAGTTTTGTTGCAAACAAAGTTTCTGTGTAGCCTACATTTAGTGTTACTCACCAAAAAACAGGATGAGTGCTATTCCTTCCTCATATTTGCACATTTTTCTTGAAAGTTTGAAACCTGCATTATTTACATCCATGCTCACGAGCTTGCAGTCTTTCTCACTGCCTTTGTTGTCACTTAGTGTGTTTCTTGACACATTCCCACAACCTTTTAATCAGTGGAATGATGTGAAACCATTTGCTGGAATGTGTATTGCGTCCTTGCACTAGAACAAAGTAAACGGAGAGCCACAAAACCATTTCTTCATGGCATTAATAGTTGTGGATAAATAAATTTAAAAAAAACTCCAGATGGAAATTTCAATTATTGACTATATGAGTCCATAATATACAATTTTTATGACTTTATGTTTATTTAAAAAAAAAGTTTGTTCAAAGAGGTAGATTGCTCAGGAAAAAAGAAGAAAAGTTATTTCATGCTGTGTACAGTATCTTCTGCTCAGGCTGCCACTATATAGGCTTTTCCTCATTCGGGGCCCCTGCTGGCTAACCTTTGGATGACTTTCAAGTCTTCCGTACACCATTGTTATTCCTCAGTCTTTCCCTCAGATGTCCTATTTTCGCCACAATCACTTACATGCTCTCAACTCTGAGAGGAAAGCAAGCATGCTAGCTCCTCAGAAGAACCACAAACTGGGAAGTACTGTCAAAAGAACAATTTGCACAACACAAAAGCTTTTGTTTCCCACCCCTTATGTGGGAGACAGGTGGTCACTGCGGGAATGACTTGGCTTTCACTTTGAAAATGTACGGGGACAAAAGTGTCAAGTACAGGCAAGCTACAGAACCAAAATTTGTGTTTAAGCACTAAGCATATACTATGTGACATTGTATTCCATTATATCCTATTCTGTTCTACTTTATTATGTTCTAATCTCATACCGTACTATGGGAAATTTATTTGACACAGCACATAAAATATTCCTTTTCTTTATTTTTTCATTAGTTGCAGGTATGGCACAAAAAATGGGTGATAAATCCAAAGAAATACAGTGAAAAAGAAGCCTGATCATATATAAATATAGAGCACAAAACAGAGAAGAGTGACAGGTCATCATTACAGGGTGTCGGCACAGAACAAGATAAATAACATCACTGTAACACAGCTTTCTCAACAACCATGATATTACACCATCAAATGTCATTATTTTCTGGGATATTTTCAAGAGCGACGATCGGGGGTAGGGTGGACAATTTCTTGACTATGGCACACATCTTCATCTTCATCTTGTCATCAGCTGCACTGACGGTAAATGACTGGCCAAGTAAAATCGGAGTCTGTGCAAGCCTTCATGTTGCTCCTGCCTGGCCTGTGATTCAGAGAGAAGAAGAAAGCCATCGAGAAGTAGAGCAGTGAGACTCCTACACCAGAGACAGTAAGATACCAAGAGGTGGCAGTTTTCCCACTGGTAAAGTTGTCACACTGAGCAGCCATGGCATCAAAATAGCGACATACTGCTTCTTCCCTGACAGAGTAAAATGAGATCTTTGAAATGTGTCTACCACTTCTAGTTATTTAGTAAGACTGCAGTCAGCCCCCTGTCGAGAAGTCACTCGTTACCGCCTAGCCACTGTGTGAAAGTGAAAGAGACTCGCCGCATTAAGATGGCAATTTTACTTTTGAAAAACATTCACAGTGGTAATGTTTCATGTTTAATATAACAGACATTTTGCTCTTGTTTGAGTCCTTCATAAGAACACTTTTCAGACTACCAAATTCACTTTGACTGCCAATTCTGTCGATGCTGGTCGAGCCTAACAGTAATGCTGCACCCCCCCCACCCCCGGCATAAATTCTCTTTGCCAAATCAATACCATGAAAGCAGAGTGTGTATAGTGATAATTAGGGCTACCAGTGGCAATTATGTCATGCTAGTGGAACTGAATGGTTATTCGGGGAGCTAAAATAGCGTGATGAATGGCACAATGTGACAAAGCCCTTCTTAGGTTGAAAATGAGAACATTTCTACCCAGAAAGAAATGTTGGGACTGTTCCTTTTAGAGACCTTAGAAGCACAAGGTATTAATTAAGCATTTACATGGTGGTGATCATAATAAATTACCAGTTAATTATAGCTATAACTAAGTAGGTAAAAATGTTAAAATTATAGCTGAAATTCTTTAAAAACACCCAAGAAACTACATTACAGTTGGAAACTTCTCGGGTTTAGCAGCATAACTGAGCAGAACTTCACCTTCTGAGCAAGATCTTTTCTACTTATAGTTTATAATATTACAAGGTATGCACTTTCTAGGAATTAAGGCAATACTTTGTTTTAAATTACATTTTCTCACAGAGCAACTGGTCATAGTTCTACTCACATGGATAGGTTTAATGAAATTTACCAAAGAACCTGGGGAATAGTTTCAACATACTGCATGTTGCAGCAATTATGTTCAATCTGCAGCCTGCACAAACCCTGATGTGTAACCACATCCTTTAATGCAACAGTACCTCCATTTTAATGGTATTGATGTAAGCACTGGGTACATTCATGCACAACTGCATGATTCATTTGTGTATTCATAAATGCGCAAAAGAAATAACAGATTTTTAAAAAAATGATCTAAGGTGAAACAACATTGAAAACGCCCCTTGTTTGTTTCCTTGGTACTCCAAGACCTTACCAAATCCAACAATAGGTTATTTCCTTTTCAGTTCAATTAAGACCAACATATTCCATTTATGTTACACAAAGGTAGAAAGTCAAGTGTGTCATTTTATCAGTAAGAAAGGTGAAACTCCTTTCTGAAAGGAAAACACTATCTCTCTACTGCAGACTGCTTCCCTCCTCCGACCTACCAAATGGCTATTGCCTTTTCTATGCAATGAAGATCAACGTGTGTTGTTTGTTTTCAGCAATGTTACTAAAGAAAAAGGCAATTTCTTGTGTTTACTGTGACCAGTACAATGCAATGCAATGCAATGCAATACAATACAACTGACCCAAAAACCTTATATATAATGTTCAGTATCTGTCAAAACTACAATCTTTAGCACTTTTTTTGTGTTGACTGAATTCTATGGTGTATTTTCAGGCTGTACTTTTTAGTGTTTTTATATGATTGCATCATATTGAAATGTGCTGTCCACTGTTTACTGCACTCCCATTTACTGCATGGAGGAGCAAAAACATCACAAACTTCAGCTTCATAAATGACTGCACAGTTAAATCAACACCTTTCTGACACAACGTTAAAAACAAATAACCATGTGTCAGTCAGAGACACGTAATTCAAGGAATTGATGATTTAAAGCAAATTATTATATTTGGTGGAAAAGGGTCTGCTGTTTGAGGGAGCTCTAAGAATCTGAGCAGCAACAATTGCCAATCCTCCCTTAATAAACACATACATTAACAACAGCAACAATATAGCACATAAGGACTAGGCGGTGGTAGGGGCTGCAGCAACAGACAACATTGGTATAACGGTATTATCTAAGTATTGGTGAAAAGTGCCAGGCTATAATAGCCACGCTGTACACTTGCATGAATATGATTGGATGTTACTAGTCATCTGACAGCCACACAGCTGGTGATTAAGCCAGTGATTGGCAAGCATGAGCGAAACAGCTGATGCCAGTCAGTTGATGCTAGTGTGCTCTGCCTGCCCTAATGCTTTGCTCAACTTGAGAATGCAGTATTCATTACTGAACAGTTGCATTAGATTGCAGTACCTATATTATACACATTCCAGTTCTTGCAGACAAAATCTAAAATAAATTGAGACCTTTAAATTTTATTTTATCGTGAAACTGCTTTTGAATGTAATGAATATCAGATCACAAAAAAACAGTAGACATTGCCAGAATGTGTAGGTGTCTTTCTGTGAGGCCTCAACTTTCTGTGATTTACGGAGTTCACAGAAAGACAGATGTCTTTACTTGTTGTCAGACATTACTTTAACCGCTAACTGTAATTGCCGTTAACTAGTTAGCTCAGTTAGCCCAGCAGCACTGCCTCTCCCAGTGACCCAAAGCTCATGTAGTGTTATTAGAAGTGTAAACACCAACACACCCCCGGTGTCTGGGCAGTGTCATTTTATAGGATGTCTAGCCACACAGCTAACAGCAGCTACAGTTAGCAGTAGTTAGCGGTTACTTTAGAAACAAGTAACGTTAAAGCTATCTGTCAAGAAACTACTCATTCACTACTCCTATCTAGTGAATTGTTTGGAGAGGACATTATAGTGAGCACAAATCAAAACAACACTTTCGGACACTACTCCAATCAATTTCTCTGTGCTGTTAATTACGTCTTTGCTGTTGGGGAATCGGTTGGTGGACTGTTTTTTCTAAAAGCACAATGCATGATGGTATATAGTGCTTGATTAGTGACCATCGGTTGTACACTACTTTTCAAAATGCATTCTGGGATACTTTGAGTCAACTATATAGGGTATAATAATTCTCACTATACATTCGGACAGCTCCACAAAATGTCGAGCTCACTATATAGTCCACTATAAAACTTTCTATAGTATAGACCTTCAAGTGGCTGCTGTGAGAAACATCTAATACTGTGTGTTCTGGTGAGAAAAACAACTCGCACAAAATATCTTGGGCCGAGGCACTGTAATGTAAAAACAAACCACTTTGCGCACACATTCAGCACGCAGACTAATCTACAAATACCTCAAACCCATTTCCCCTTGTTAGTTTATGAACACTTCACACCTTCCATAACTACAGAAGCCTCTAATCATCAAAATAAAGCCAGAAAACACTGTAAGAAAGAAAACTGTCACACAACACTGTTTACATATTTCCAAAACTGTTAATCCCCCCAATTGTTCTTTGAAGTAGCTTAGAGGACTTTTATCAATAAATAGAGCAGAGCTGAGTGTGTAAGCGACTCACCAGGCTCACATCCCCTGTATACAAAAGGGCAGAGACTGACACAGGGTGTGTGAATTGCACAGAAATTGAAATAGGATATGGTGAGAGTTGTACTACCATGGAAACAAACAATGATTCCTTTTGCTGTACAATTTCATCCACGGCTCTGGCAAAAGTAGACAATATTTCCTTCACACAGACGAATACTTTGCACAAATATGAATGTACCCAGAATTTGATCATATGCAGCACAAAAGTAGGATAAAATGTGGTCTGCCATAGTTTTTGAAAGGCTAATACTGATTTAATTCCAACATATACCAAACAAATAATAAGAGGGAATATCCAGGTTTTTTCAAAGGTGGTTATTATAAAGAAATAGTTTGACATTATTTGCTTTGTGCTGAGAGTTAGATGAGAACATCAATGTGCCAATTTGTTAGTCGGGGGGCAGTCACTTCCTGATGTCTCTCTCAAGCTCATGATGGCAACCCTCTCTCTGTACACCACAAATTGGTGTTTTAATATTTCGGGTTTAATACATATTAAACAAACAAAACATAGGTGTTAATTTGTGAGCTGAGGGAGTGCTGGTAGGCAGATTTTGTTACCTTCATACAGAGCCAGGCAAGCAGTTTCCCTTGTTTTCAGTCTTTATGCTAATCTATACTAACTAGCATTCAGCATGAATCGACCAGGTGCTCAGGGTAGATGTAAAAGGAACAGTTACCAAAATATCTTAAGGAACTCAAATCCATACTTAGTAACAGTTACGACTGCATGGGGCACTTTGGCACTTTTCATTACCTAGGAGGATATAGTGACTAGGCTAATGGATATTTCATCTGAACTTTTAGTTTTGGAAATTGTGTCAAAGTCTGTTTCAAAGTCAGACAAACTTCATATTCTTGATGTGTCCAAACAACCTATGAAAGTCTAGAAGTTCTCATCATCGAAAGCACACACAAAAAAACATATGTTTTAGTAAAACATTACATCTAGTAAGACTGTAAGAAAAGAACTCCCCCCAGAACTCCATTTACATTCATTGTGATCCACACAGAAATGAAAGAAAACCAAACAAAAACAGAAATGGATAGCAGATAATACCTGTGATTATGTCTCTGTAAAAACATCGTTCAGACCATAATGATATTTTAAAGATGCCCTGAAATGCTCATCATTCTGCTCTGTTTTGCTTATTATATTTATCTTCTTTACATGTATCAGTTTCTTATCACACCTATTGTACACAGCTTTATGCTCACACATGTACATGACCCAGTCAGACCAAACCAGGCTTCTACTGAAGAGGCTACATATGCTGAACAACCACAACACCAAACTGAACCTTTCCCAGAACTGCATTCATGAAGATTTCATTTATATTCTTGACTGGGTTCCCTTTGTGTCCTTTAGTGTTCTGGTTGCACTCTAAATATGAATGTAACAAGTAAAAAATGGTCAATTTGCTGTTAAACGTGGACTATTTTCAGTGTTGAAAAGCCTGTGGGAGTAGGTCATGTATGTGCAGAGAAATATAAAATTAATTTTATATGTTGAGACTTTAACCTGTATGTTGTGCTTCCTGTACTCCAACATAAAACATTTATCATAAACCTTTGAATAGAGCTTCTTTAACATTTACAAGTTATACAGTTACCAAATTGGTTTACTTCTTATGCTTCCATCAGCTTTGATACTTAAGCAATGCAAAGGGAGACAACAAGAAGAGAAAAGAAGTTAAGTCATCTTCAACAGAAAAAATAAGAAACAAGACACAAGTCCTCAAAACATTTGTCATAACCAACAATGAACGGAATTTTTCATTTTCTTATTTTCTCTTTTTTACAATACATTTTTTAAAAACCCCGCTGGTTAAGGTTATGGTCTCAGGTAGATCTTCCACAGTCAATCTTCACAGTTTGTGTAAAAGCAGAGAAACATTCTCGCTAGAGTAATAAAATATCATGACTATTATTATGGTCATTATTATCTTTTATTCTCATATTGTTCCATATAAATGGTGGAGGATAGGGGTGAGGCGCATCGCCCCAATCAAGAGCCTGCAGTCCCAAAGTTTCTACTCCCCTCCCTGTACAACACAGCGTTTTATTCAGCAGTTGTTCTTTTCTTTTGTTAAAAAATGCTCGCCCTCAGGGAAGGAGAATTATGGGAAGAGAGAGTGGGGTATTCATTTGACAAAGTGTCTTTATCCTCCTGTATGATCTTAAACTGTCTCTCTGCGAAAAAAAGATCCAGAGCCTTTGCTGCCGCTGTTTTCTTCCAAGTTGTTTCCAAACCTGGTCTGCCAGCACTGCCTGGTCGGCCGCCCTCACATTGAACTACGCATTGGCATAGGCATAGGCGCATGCACACAAACAAACGAACAGACGCTCGCTCTCTCGCTCACACACACACACACACACACACACACACACACACACACACACACACAGGCAACTGTCCCGTCAGGAGTTAAATCCAGGTGTAGCACAACCACATACTCCCTCTGATCACGCATGCCCTCCCATCAGCACTTGTGGGGCAAAAGAAACATATAGAAAATAGCCCATCAGAGGAAACATGAACAGAGATGTGTCCAATGTTGATTAACACCCAGGCTCACGATTCGGTTTGTAATCTGAAGGCACTTTGTTTCATGGCAGAAAGTAAAGTGGCTTCTGTTCCACAGGCGGACCGCTGACTGAATATTCGAGTCAGGCCTCACTACACCTTTTTCTACTCTCTGCCTGTTCCTCCTCTCCCTCCACTCTTCCTCCCTTTATCACACCTCCTCTCTGCTCTCTTTCCACCGCTCCCTCACATTTCAGCTCCAGAGCTTGAACTCCTCTCTGCCCTCCAGTCCAGCTGTCTGCACCTCCGCTGATTCTTCTGCATTTATTGTTCTGCCACCATACTGTCGGTTGGCCACTTGGACTCGTGAGCACAGTGTTAAAAGTTACATAGGCAGCTACAGGGGAATAAGCAGACGGAACCAAATGTTGCCAGAGTCCTTGTTTTTCTACAGTACAGCACCAAGCAGATAAAGAAATGCCAAGGTGTGATGTGAGGCTGGGCTAGAGTGAAAAACAAGTGTCGGTGATTGGCATCTGGTGCAAGAAGATGAAGATAAAGATACACAGAGAAAGGTCTGATTCCATGTATTTGTAAGCAGGGAAATGTGATGTCCTCTTCAAAAAGTCAGCAGTGTCTATATTCTGCCACCTTCCAAAGATATTTTAATAACATCATTAAATTGTACTTGTGCTTTACAAACTGTCCTTCCTCGAAGCTTGTGAACTCTTTCACCAAAGTCCAGGCTTATTCATCGCCCACCTGTCTTTGTGCTCGTAAAGATGTCCCGAGTCCTGCACCGAGGAGTGTTTTCTGTAAAAGAGGTCTCTTTAAAAAATTTGCGCAGCTTCTTTATTACTTTTTGTGTAACTTTTTTATCACAATTTTTTCTCTCTTTCATTAATTTCGGTCCCTCCGTGGTCTGTCAGGGGTCCCCTGCTGCTTTCAGGATGCATGAATCTTTGGTGACTGGATGCCGAGGGTATAGTTCACAGACGGTGTGTCTGAATATTTGCCTCTGAGATGACAGAGAGAAGGGTCACCTCTGACCTTCCAGCAGGGTCATCACCATGGTGACGCATAGCAGCCATATATGGGAGGATGTGGATAGAGACTTGGAGCTGAGATCTACATAGGAAGAAGTAAAAGAAACAGAAAAAATGGTAGCTGTTGATATATACGCCAAAGGACGAAACACAAACATCTCTACAGGCACAAAAAAAGAACAGATGGATACGTAATGTGCAAAATGTGTTTGACAGGAGTTCGACATTTTGGGAAAGGCATTTATTCACGCAACCGGTCAGCTTAGCTTAGCACAAAGACGGAAAACAGGAGAAACAGCTAGCCTGACACTGTCAACTAATAACAAGTTGCAATTTTACAGGAGGTTATGTGCTGGACTATTTCTTTGCCGGGCACAATGACTTCCTGGAGAATCAGTTTACCTTACGGTGATGACTCCAGAAAGTCACTCCTCCTGGCCAAGAAATGAAAATAACATAACCCCTCTTAAAACCAAACTTGCTTTAACACTCTGGGTCATGTACAAATTAAACAAACAAGATATAGTGTGTTAATTAGTGAGTTTCAGAGGTCCTGGTGGTGTTGGTTGACTTAGCACTGATCCAGGCTAATTGTTTCAACCTGTTTTCAGTATTTAAGCTAACTATCTCCTGGCTCCAGTTTCATGATCTACAGACAGACTTCGACAAGAAAGCAAATAAATGTATTCCAAGAAATGTCAAACTATTCCTTTAAGGCACAACGCTGTATTGTACGACCAGCTCAACAACCATCCTTGAATTGAATCATCAGTCAGAAGTCACCTACGATCAGCCCTCGTGAGATATTTCTAAATGTTACACAAAGTCACGTACGATTCATCATGTGAGATTAAATTCCATGATTCATAACATTATCCTGTCCTGATACTGAGCGGCCACTCTTATAAGTCCAATGAATTAATTTTGTCGCTTTGAATCATAATGGATCCAAGTGAATAATCATCTTGCAGTAATAAAAATAATACATCTTGCTGACCTGGATTACAGACTGTACGTCTCTTTTTAGATGCCTGGTTATGTTCCCCCAATGACATAAAAAATGAAAATAAATGACCTGTTTTTATCTTTGGTATGTTAAACAAGACATGGCTAAGTTTGAGAAGTAAGGACAGGAAATAATGTTCCTACAAACATAAATTGCATCTTTCTCATCCTACCAATGTCACCTTGTCAATGGCAGGCCATTTTCTGTGTCCTGTTTTCAGTTTTTACCTTCTGTTTGTTCCTGCAGCGCAATTACAGTGCTCCACTCAGCCAGCATGGCTATTATTCGTGTGATTACAACAGTGTTGCCATGGCAACCGCATTTCCCACATGAGATGGCAGTTCAACGCTGGAAAGTGTGCAAGATTAGATCCCCTCTCGTAAATCTCAACCTTGTCCAGGTAGGTAGAGTGAGAACCAGGGGCTGGTTGCAGAAAACACCTGAGGTTTTCTCCTTATGTATGACACTAAAGGCTAAATTTCTCCTTAGCTGAGGAACTTACTTAAGGCGGTTGCACAGAATCCCTGAAAAGGTTTCCTTAGTTAGGAAAAAACATTAAGGGATTTACGGCATTGAAAGAGATTTTTCAACAATACAATTCTACAGTTTCCATGAAGACCGTTTATTTGCTTGAGCTTGTGATAGCCTAGGCTACCTGTTATCGCCTTATTGTCTCACAAATAGTCTCCTATACACAGTAAAAGAAATGTCAGAAGAAAAAAGACAAGAAAACCAAATTGGTCAGGGGAGAAAAAGAAAATACTTCTGTAGGATTACAACAAACGGAATATCCACAAACGAATGTTGGAGGAAACTACAACAAAAATGTATTTAAAAAGTGTGGTGAAGAGATTCATCCAAAAGGTCCAAAAGAAATATGTCAAATTGTCTGTTCTGGCCAAAGAAGAGATCACTTACTACAGGGAGGAATCCAACTTTAACTGGTAAAAGTAACATTAACGTTTAACTTAAAGTTTACTCCCAGCCTAACTGAGTTAGCGCAACGGTTAAGGTTAAACTAAGGTGTGTGTGTTTGCGTTTAGATTTGGTCCTGTCTGTTTATGTCTTGTGGAGTTGGTCTATATTGTTCTGTCTTCTGCTTGTTCTGTGTGGTGTTTAAGCTTACTTAGTATCGGTCTTGTCTCTTATCTTATTTCCTAGTCCTGTGCCTTAGTTCATGTCTTATTGTTCACTTCTGGTCTGTGTACTTCTGTGTTGTTTTGCCTGTGTCTGCCCTGAGTTCTGTATAATCCCAGCTTCAACCTATATTTCTCCGATATGTTTAGTGTCCATTAACTTGTGTTGTCTGTTGCCACCCAGTAATCTGCGTGCCTGCCAGTCTCTCTGTTTTCCCCTGCTGTCTCTCTGCCTGCCTGTGTCGTCAGTACTGAACCTTGTCACCTGTGTTGCTCCCGCCCTACTTGTTAGTCCCTGTGTATAAATGTTTGGTGTTTCTGTTCATTCTGTACTATGAAGGGATTTCAACCTACTCAGAGTTAACTCGGGGTTATCAGGCAAACTCAGGGTTGACAAACTCTGACTGCCTGCACTGGAGTTAAAAGGTACTACGAAGGTGGATAAGATGTTGGTTAGTTGAGTCTTTGTTAACTTAATTGGAGTTGGCGCGTTCACATAAAAGGGGTGTGTTTGGGTTCAAGTTTTTTCGCAACGTCGCATGCACCGTACTTCTCCAGAGAAATGCACGTTGATTGTGTCAGGATATGATGAATGTAACTGCAAAATCTAATATCGTGGCCGCCGACAAAGCCAGGGTGGCTTGTTGGCATCGCATGGAGTAAATGTGTAGCCTAATTATCTTCACAGTGTTCTTATTGTAGTTCAGATCTCTTTTGTGTAATATGATTAAGATGTAAGGGTACAACTGCACATAAGGTCCTTTGTAATAGGAAAAAAAGGAGCCAGCGTAGAGGGGGAATAATCCGAGACAAAATTTTATTTCCACCATTAATATACAAGTAAAAAAACTTGAATATTCTAACATTATAGTCACACATTTATGAGAGAAAATAACTTTGCAAGGCTGCAACATCACACACACGTCTACCGTGTATTATGCATGCATTGGAAAGTTATATTAAACTTCGCAATTGGATTTAGCAGTGAGGAAATAGCCTACTCGTGAGTTTAGCCCACAATCACTATCATGCACCTCAGAGACTGAGTGATTTTTTTTTTGTGACATTAATTTCCGATTTTTATTACTGCAAAGTTGCCACTTTTTTTTTTGCTCGGTTTATTAACCCCTGGCTCCGTATTTTTTGGACACGTAAAATAGTCAATCTAAATATGTGAAAGCACTTTTTCAGTTACATCTCAGAAACTGTCTTTTCACACTGTCACAAAGTTACTCCTGAAGTTACCCGGATAAGCCAATTAACTCGCTTCGTAGTACAGGCCACTGAGCATTGTAGCGTGTACATGCGCTATTATCTGTCGTCGGAAGAGTGTTCTGCCTTTTGCTGTGCTGTTGATTTTGGATGTTGCCAGTCCCTGAACTGCATCTCCGCTCCTGAGTCTTGCATTTGGGCCCTCACCTGTTTTGTGCTCAACCTCGACCCTGACAAGGTGGGTCCACCTCCAAAACCTCTTTCAAAGTGATGGTTCTACACTGGTGGGAATTACTAGCGGAGCAGAGTCATTTGGAAAGGTAATCTTCAGTTTAAGCCTAATAAAAGACATTACTGTTAAATAGCATGGCTGTATAGTTAACCACTAAAACCTTCTCCAGTGAGCTCAGATGAGAGGGACACAAGAGGGGGTGCACGAGGTGGAAGGAGGTGGTGCTACTTACTGGGCGGTGGGTCTCGACACTCCCCTTCCTCCAGTGTGACATCATCGATGGCGATGTCTCCCTCGATGCCTGGTCCCCGGATACCTTCGAGTACCACCTACAGAGATAGAAGTCTGGCTCGTTATAATGTTAAGCCTCGATAGACCACAAAAACAAGAAAATTAGCAGTGCACAGTATAATTTAGCTAAATTGCCCAGTGGGTGGTGGTATGTGTTTGTTTCAGTTTTTAATGTCACAAAATTTTAAACTAAGAATGCTTGTGGTGTTGGAACAGTCGAGAGAGAGTGGGAACAAAAAAAGAGACAAAGGTGCAGCTAAAACTATAATTACTTTCCACAACTGCAGCCGTGAAAATGATGGAGGATATTGCAGTTCTATATTCGCTACTTACAAAGATTAGGCTTTCTGATGGCAAAGCGTGAGTGATATTTCTTTCTCAATAGCAAACACTGTCCACTTCTCTGCTTAATATCAAGGCTTGTGAAGTGCTACATCAATATGCAGCCCCCAAGGAAAGTAATACTTCGCCATACAAACACTGTCAGAAAAGAAAATAGAGGGCAACAAGGGGGATGCTGCTGCGTATTGGACTGATTACCCGTTTTGGCCTCACCTGGAAGGATGCTGTTGGATGGATGCTTACTTTGGCCTGCTTCCAGCGGTCACCTTGGTTACCACTTAGCGACCATGCGGGACCCTCAGAGGTCGTTTGGCCCTTCTGCTTTAGGAAGGCGTTTAGTGTTCCTGCATGAGGGAGAGAGACAGTTACACACACACACACACACACCTCTGTTATATGGTCTCTTTTCTTTCTCCCCCGCCATCCCATCCTTATTTAACTCATATCAGGGTTTATTTGTATTCGTAAAATATAAAACAAATCAAAACAGACTGCAGTGCAACAACAGTTGAGATCCCCTGAACTCACTTATCTAGTTTATTTATTTATTATTTTTGTTTTATCCATTAGATGTGGGTCAGAATATAAGATATAATATGTAGGCAATTTGTTACTGTGTTCAGTTAGCTCAGTTGGTAAAGCGCAAGACTCTCTCCTAGAATGTTGCATAGGTTGGGAGAATTTATTTATTTTTCCCTCTTCAACAAATTGATCATGAGGGAATTGTTTCACATGCTCACAATACAGCATGTGCTGTCTGCATTTCGGTGTTTCATCCGCATCCATCAACCTACGGACGCCTTTTTATTTTTCAGAGGTGTGTCAAGCAGGCTACAGACTCTTTTTAATGTTCAGAATTTTCAGAAAAAGCTAAAGAAATAAAGCATTGCTGCAGAAAACGTTCTCACTGTTTTATTTTGCAGGCAAAACCACTGAAGAGGAAGTGATTATGTGAGTAACTGTTGCTATCATGACTGAGATCTATTTCAGCAACGGTATCAAAGTATTTATTTATATTTTTTGCTGCTATCAAAGCACCATAATCTGACCGCAGACAAGACATTATTGCTGGCGGGCAGTTTTGACGAGGGTCCATAATCACAGAGAGAATTAATCTTGTAAAATACCTTTGTAAACTTGATCTATTATGTGGTTTATAATGGACTGCGGTGTAGAAAGAGTTACACTCTTGGCTTACATTTTGCATGCTTTTGTACTGAACTGAAAACGGTATCCTAATCATTTAAATCCATAACTTGCCATTGCTGTCTTAATAAAGTCTTTTTAAGAACTTTATGAAACTTTCATGAAATAGATCATAAGAGTGTTAAGAAAAACCTTGCAGTTGACTGATCTGAACAAATCCCAAAAAAGAAAATGAGGAAGAATTTATTTTTCAATAGTACGTAACTATATAAGACATATATACAGGCATATTTTATCTCTATTAAATATCCTACATCTTTATTTCTTATCTTTAGTATTGAAAAGTACTGTAAAACCAACAGATTAAAACCGCAGCAATGCATGTATCTTTTCTTTTATTTTTTTTACAGTAATTATACTCCTTTCTTTGACATGACCACACACAAGGGGCCTCCATAGTGAATTCCAGAAATTGGATCTACACTTTAAGTTTAATATTCATCTCCGTCTCTTGCATTTCAAATGTATGTATTCCTCTGCATTCGAAGCAGAGCTAAGCAGTAGCAAAGGTTAAACGCAGGTCATATGAATTGATACATTTATTAAGGTGGGGTTCTGCAGGTGATGATAAATTATTCTCTCGCTCATACTGTATTAATCCAAATTAATTATCACTAATGGGCAATGTGTGATGAGAATTTTTTGGTGAGTGTGAATACTTCCCCTGTTGAGAACAGTTCATCCTAATTTATCATTAGTTTCAAACGCTCAGTCCAGCTTTCTTTTTTGTCTCACATGGATTTTGGTCTAAAGCTGCACAGGAAAAACTACTGAATTTCAAATTTGAAACCAACTCTACATTTGAAAATGCAATATGACAGATCCATTTAAACTGAATTCATACATAACCCTTACTATCACACAGAAATACTGGCTCTCATTGAAAGAGAATTGACTATATACCAGGTCTGAATTGAAGACTCCCCTCAGTGAGACCTCTTGTCTGGCCCTGGGCTTTGATATAAAACTGTCAGATGATGACACCGAGTGCAACCTCTTTACCCTCCTCTCCAAACACAATGATTGTGTTGTTTTCTTATACACCATACAGGAAGACAGAGAAACAGAGAGAGAGAGAGAGAGAGAAGAAAGAGAGACAGCTGTATCCTCCAGCAGTCGGCCAGCGAGAGCAGTATCCAAAGACCCAAATCAGGTTAGCATTGACACCATGGCGAAGCCCAGCAGACCACTGCTCTGAAGTCAAGCGAATTTCACAAGTATGGAAAGCAACACCTTTTGTGTCAACACAACTGGTGAGCAAAAACAGCAGCGACTACAATTGCAACCTTGCTTTTGATGCATCTTTGCCTCAGCAAGGTGCCTCATTACTTTACAGCCCCCTTCAAAAAAAAACCCCTTCTCTGTGTGGAAACAAGTGAAAGCTATACTGTATGTCCATGTTCATATTCTCTCATCAGCACGGTATACTCTTTCCCTAGCGACAGCACAATCTCCAGTGAGAGATGAGCTCTTGCACAGAATATGACCTGCGGTTTCATCTCTCGTTGAAGTGTTTAGGATGTAGGAGGATTCTTGCTGAGCTGGCTGGCTTACATTTTCTTTGAACTCATCGTGATGTAGGTGGTTATGTCAATGTCATCACATCCTGAGCAAAGGCATATGCTGTATATTCTTTGGAGTAGCTTTTTTTTAAAGGAATATCTGTGGTAGACACTTGTGAAATTTAAAAAGATCTGAGAAGAGAAAGATGAGTCTGGTGAGAAATAGCTCCTGGAAATTTTCAATTATGTAGTGAGGACAAGGGGTGTGTGTGTGTGTGTGTGTGTGTGTGTGTTTGGGGGGGGGGTGCAGTACCACCCTCCTTGCTAATGAAAGCATGACTCTATTGCTTCTCAGAAGGTCAGGCTTAAAACAGACTTGCTTGGTGTGCTTTGCTGGAGACTTAATCCTATAAACAAATGCGACACGGGCTCCAAAGGCAAACTTTGATGTTCGCTTCAGTAATTAAGTGTGACCTTGTCCCAGGTATCTCCCCAATAGCTAACTACGGAGGAGTTTCTTTGAGCCTGTGCCACTGTTCATAAGTGTGTGGGCGAAACTCCTTATTGACTGATTCTGGCCTCCAGCGCTGCCGTGCCACAACTTGACTGTGACTCACCTCAACAGCACAGCCCCAACAAGCGTCAAAGTCCCAGCATTTTCAGCCAGAGCTGTGCCACGTCTCATGGTTTAGTGAGTCACAGATCAAAATCCAAAAATGCCTTCAACTACTTAAAATGACAAAGTTGAAGAGGAGACAGTATACAGGAACATAGATTATTTGGACCATTTGTCATAAGCATGCACTTCTCTTGGCAGAAAATATCACAAAGCAACATTCCTGTGCTCAGGGATGAATTTTCTCTCACGGCCGGAGAGGGAAAATACCAAATGGAGCGTAGCTATGGAGGATCTGAGCTGGGTTTCAAGTCCTTGACATTTAGCTCATTCATCATAACATGCCACAGTCTGGGCATGGGCTTCACCACAGACGGGGGAGGGCAGGGAGGAGAGGATCTGGCTAGCGATCAATTTGAGCAAATTGGAAATGTCATGGCCTACTCAACCTCGGCAGGGAGCCGGAGGAGCTCTCATCTCCCCGCTGAGTCGCCCTCCGACACCTCCATCCTTATATTCTCACCATCTCCCTCGCCTCCACCTCTCCAGATGTTTGGGCAAACCCCCCCATCTGGTCACTTCCACTCTGCGTTTCCACTGAGGACAGCTGAAAAGCAGCCAGGTCAAATTTCAGACCTTATGGAATTCTTTTGTCAATTTAGTGTTAAGCTTAAAGGGTCAGTTCACCCAAAATATAAATAAAAACAGTGGTATTTAGCAATGGAGGTAAATTAAGTTTTGTTTATAGCAGGGGAAATGTATTTTACAATTTACATTTTCCACAAACAATGTTCTGGTCACTCATAGTAATTGCACTGAACTAACCAGGAGAGCTCACTAGCTGGAGGTCAGTGGTCGAATTAATCAGAAAAATCCCTTTCACTCAATAGAACAATATGTAACTCTAGTTATATAATTAATGCAAATAAGAGTAGTTTAACAAACTTCAAAGGGAAATCAAAAATTGCAACGACACAAGATTCACTCAAAAAAAAATCTCATAAAAGATATATAAGCCAGTGCACTCAGAAAGTGAGAGTAAAAAGAAGAGAGAAACTGAGTGGGATGGAGTTGGAGCAGCAGGTCCAGCAGAAGCTCTGAGCGGAGCAGGTGGAGGGTGGAGATGGCGCTGATACCACCGATGTCTCACTAGAATACTAAGGCAAATGCAGCCAAATCCTCGCTGTAAACATCTTGTCAAAAGAGAGAGAAGCGCAGTTGCCAGCCTGTAGTGATTACACACTTTAATGAACGACAATTCAAATTTAATGAGCACAAAAATGCAACTCCCTATCCCCTCTTAGAGTTTGTTCACTACCACTGCTCTCGTTTTCTTAGCGTCACGTTGTTTGTTATATATATTTTTAATGCTTGTATCTGTTTTTTTTGTTGATTAAAATATATGTTTACTGAAGAGGTATTTTTTACTTAACTGGACATTTCTGAGGTCCCACATAACACAAATAATCTGCCAAAGCTTGAACAGTTTTGTTTACTTCACATGAGGGACTTCTGTATTTTTTGGTTTGTCCGTGCTTTTGTCACTGGCTTGAAGTGGATTGGCCATAGAGAAGGTGATCTCATGTACTTCCATGCATCAATCAGGACTTAGTAATATTTAACACAGAATCTGATGGCAGCTGGTGGGTAATTTGTACTGTCACTGTCAATCAAATCTGATCAAACCACACCAACACAGTCCTAAAATATAGAAGTAGATTAGCAGAATTTCTGAATGTTAAACCCGTAATTAATAATACTTAACAATGCTTTCTTAAACTTTCACTTTGATTGCTGCTTAATTAGTCATGAATATTTAATTGTTCATTTGTATGGATTTGTTAATTGTTGCACCCGTTTGTTGGATTTGAAAATATCGGACTTTGGTACATCCTAGTGATAAGATACAAAAAGACACACTGGCGGACAACAATGTATGCCCATCACTGTGCGTGTCAGCCTCAAATGTCACAAAATGTGCTTCAAGGATGCTGTGCTTATAATCTATTTCCACACTTGCTTTGCATGTGAACGGATCACTGAGAATGGGCTTCAAGTGTGATTTAACAGACTTTGAAAAAGTCATGATCATGGATGCCAGATTGCCACTGCCAAAACTGTAGGGTCACTGAGCTTTTTTATGGTGCAAACGTCAAAAGCGATGGTCCACAACACAAGAGAGGTGCCCTTGGTAGATAAAAAATTTGGCCTTATAAAGTAATAACCAGTACAAAATATGTTCAACAACAACACCGATTGGTGCTGGACAGTTGATGACTGGATGTGGTGGTCCAGTTCCAAATGCACCAACACAGGAACCATCATGCATGCTTACAGCTGTAGAGTCTGATGTGGGAGCTGCATTGATTTGGGAGGAATTCGAGTGACTTAAATTGGATTGAATATCCAGAGATCGATGCCTTTTTTTTTAACAAGTAAAGTATTAAATAGGTTTGAATTCTTTCAGAACTCCAGTACGATCCATAAGTAGCTCGCTAAATTAAAAACAAACATTTAGAATATCGTTATGGTATTATTGTATATGCTTTCAACAGTGCTTTGAGTGCACAACATCAGTTTTCCGTCGAAACAGGTTTCTGCCTTAACAGCATCCTGCCCAAGTGATACCAAGATGGCCCTGCAAACCTACCCAGCGGTGCCCCTTACCTGCCTTATGAACCTGTACAGTAGCTACTGACATGTTGTGAAGCAGAGACAGAGAAATCACAAACATACAAACGGCATGCACTCAGAGCAGGAGAGTTTGTGGTCAACTGAGCTTGCAGATGCTCTGCCATCTTCAAATGAGCCATACATGTTTGTTAAGTACATTCAGTGAGGAATGTAAGAGCTAATGCCCAGGAGTTGTGTACAAACCTTTGAAGGGGTTTGTTGCAAAAATGAGATATCTTTTGCTTGAAACATCTGACAGCTACACTTTTGCACACAAAATTTAAGCATAAAAGCACAGAACTCCGCACCGCACCTGCCATGGGGACAAACTCTCTGGAAATTACTGAAATTCTGTTGCTTACAGGAAAAAGTGGTGCCTTTTTTTCTCAGCGTGAATACTGTGTTTCCTGTCTCACACGTAGGCGGTGGACAGAAATTTCAAGAATCTCATCTCTCAGTTTATACTTCAAAACCAGTGTGATGTCCCACAGATGCTTGATGAGGGACTTTTTTTTGGTAAATAACATTTGTTGTGTTTCCTCATTGGCTGTTATTTAGTTACGCACAGATAACAATGCATCCCCTTCATTTAGCAGTGGATTGCCAAAGCAATTAGAAATTCACTTAAAGTTGCTTTCACTGATCAAGCAACCAAAAGCACAGAACAGTGACAGGTTCCTTAAAGAAAGAGTGTAATTATTCTATTCTTCATTTATTTCCATGAACACTGAATATAAATTAAGATGATGTTTTCAGCAGAGGATATATGGCAGATTAAATCCAAGTGCAACACAGGCTTTTGTTATGCCGACTGGGGACAATGAGAAGAATGTATCTTACCTATGTGTTTTCCATACATGTGGTAGAAGAAGCCAAAGCAGTACGCAGGTGGGTTGGTGATACCGTAAGGGTTTTTAGGTGCTACGTTGAAAAACGGACTCACAAGCCGTGCTTGGTCCCCTTCCTTCCGTGGTCTTGATGTCTCAATGTACATGTAGAAACCTTGAAACAAAGGGACACATAAAAACATACATGTAGACAATTTTGAAGTTGCAGCTTATCTACCTAACTTGAAGCTGCATTGCTTTTTTAGGCAGAGCAACATTTAAAGCATAATTATGGTTTATTACAACTAGTCTTATTTTTGATGATCATTTTTATCAGTTTTTTATTATACAGGTTGTAAACAAGCCAACATGTAGCCGGATTACTTAAACCACTATCTTCTGAGGTAAAAACCAAAGGTGACCGCAACCCAAATTGTTGGGTAATAGTTTTGTCATTTGCCATTGCTCTCACTCTAGTCTGGCAAACATAGGGGTTTGTTTTAAAGCCCACCATTGTCTGACAGCTCATGTTTTATACCCCCTTAACACATTCCCAGATCTTCACAATTAACCAGGTGAATACACTGTTATTGTTACCTTTAGGACAAATGATCAAAATTACACAAATAAGACTCAAGTTGCAATAAACAAGAATGAACTTTTTTACGCTAATTACCTCAGGACACAAGACAAAGTCACTGTGCCTCATTGGAATTCTGCACAAACAGTGGATGTACCCTTTGATAAATATGAGAGCTTTTGTCAGGCAGTGTTCAGAATGCCAAAACTACTTTCCGACTGCCTACTGATACACCAACTAATTATTTGTCACTGTAAACTCTGAGAAAAGGCGAGTTCTTGTTTATGCTCAGTTGCTTTTTCAGCATGTCTGTGATAGCATGATGGAAATGAAATCTTCCATATTAGAGATAAGGAGCAGGGCTTTCTATGAAGGACAGTTCTAATAGCAATACCCGGGGAAAATCGAGTAACCCCAATAACAGCTACATTAATACTCCCTCTAACATGAACAGCAGCGGTGACGACAGGGAGTCAAACAGCCCTCTGATTGTGCTTGAGCCACATAATCTGAAGCCAATCTCTGCCCTGCCACAGGCACAGGGAAGGTAGGTAGTGAGCGGCTCCACGCCCCTCCAGCCAAAATCAAATGGAACATCTCCCTCAGTTGAATCTCATATCAGATAATTATACGCAAAGAGAAATGGGGCTGGTAATGAAATGCTGGACATTTTGAAACCATTAGGTCATTAAAGCCAATGCATTATTTACCGCTTCAGCTGCTGCTGGTGCCATAGCACCATAATAGGCACTCATATTCTACCACAGATACCTTACATCCTCTGTTTCCTACAAATCCAATTTTGGTCATTTTTTATTAAGTTCTCAAATATGGAATACCTGCATGTGTAACTAACATATTGAATACTAAATACTGTGTTCCTCAGGTTTAGGTACCCATGGTAACAGCAACAGAGACAGAGAAAATAAATCATTGTTAGATTGTGCTGCATCAAGCAATTGGTGACAGAATGAGTACAGCTGAAATCATCTAGTATGCAGTTGGGAACACTTGAGTCTTTCCAACTTATTTCAACATTTCAGAGAAGTGGAACTTTCTGAGTGCATATATTGTATAAAGGTACAACGTATTCATGTTTCAATGCTGCTAATTTTATATCTCCCCATGTAATTTAACAATAACATAATAAACTCACACATTCACACATATACTATTAGCAACTTAGTGGAGTTTCCAATTCAATTCCAGCTTATTTGACACATGTTTGACTGTTGTAAACCCAGTGGTAATTACTTGAGTATTGACCTGTGTCTACTATTAGTAATAAAGATTCACCTAACTGATCACTCATCCAAAGAATCAATTAACTGACCCTTCACTAAGCCCCATTGCGATGCATGTCATGCTTTCCATTCTAGTAGGGCACACATGAGGTTTACAATGATAACAGTTGCAGTTTTACATTCATAGTTATTTTTGAAACAATAGGTCACAAAGACTTATGTTGACCAAAAAAGAGCTTTCATTTCTAGCCAGTGATCAGCAGACCTTATCAGTGATAGCTAGCTAACTAATTAATGCTACCTCCATGAATTGGTTCAAATGCCGTCGCCGGTTTTAAAACAAGAACCCTGTAACCCAGTGTGTCTTAAATATGCACTTGATGGCTACATACAGTACATGATTTCGAGCTAAAAGACTTTTCACGGAAGCAGAAGACATCTTGTGTCCAATTAATTTGCATTATTTTACAATGTGGAAATCCCAAATCAGACAGGAAATGTTATTCAAAGCTGATTGTTTTTATGTGTTTTAAAACATGTCCGGTGATGATCTTTTAAGACCTCTCCCAGCTTCTTAGTATTGTTGAACAGTAAACCAAGAAAACATGTAAGATTGGGCTATTTTTACTTTCCATGATTGGATGTTTACAATTGAAAAACACACAAAGATGAACAAGAACACAATTATATTTATGCTTTTCGTGCTTTTTAACAGTATGTTTCAATTTTACAAGAGAAAAGGCTTTGAGGATGATGAACAATGATGAGTTATAGGCTATAGTGTCATCCAGGACCAGCTTCCATACAGCGTGGAAATACTACACAGTGGATGCACCAGTCTTGATAAGAGCTTTTTCTAGAGTAAACTACAACCCTATAAAAGTAAGCTAATAAGCTACTTTGCCTTGGCATTAACGCAAGGTTACTACCTACAGGAGTAAGCTAGTTAGCTGAGAATGCAATCGATTTTTACATTAGAGCAGATAAACACACTGTTTAATCAGTTTCTTACACTTGTACCTACTCTTGTTCTGTTCTGTTTTACTACAGCTAAACTATGATTGAACAATCACTGTTTAGGGAGGGGTTTAGTGAACTGTCAAGACTTAGGTCAAGGTTAGACTTGTGGAAAAACTTACCCTGCTTAGAACCACTGCGGTCACCACTGGGTCCGGTGTTGGGTGTATACTTGGTATCGCGGGTAGCAGCACTATGCCGCGTCCAATCAAAATCATCATTCTTGTCCTGGGTGAACATGCAGATGGGTTCCTCCTCAAAGCTGCAGTGGAACTCTCCTGGTGAGCAACAGAGCAGAACCAGGCTCTTACATTCACATCATTATGAAAGAGTGAGAAGTTATACACTGCCTAGAAGATACCGTATGTGTGCAGTGTGACAACTACTGTATATTTATGAGATTTCCTGGAGTGTGTGTGTGTGTGTCAGGGGGATCTACAACAGCAACATCCTAATTACACCAAATGATCTGGTGAACAGAATTTCTAAATTAGGATGTGACCTCTCGCTGACTGTAGTGCAGATGTCAGTGGGTGTGTTTTGTTTTTCCCTGACAACGACAGTTTAGTTCATTTCAGAAAGGAAGTCTCTGCAGAGAGAGTGCTGCACCCTGAAAATGCCCAGTGACAGAGTGTGTGTGTGTGTGTATCAGAACTGGTTATTATTTCAACACCATATCAGCTCACTACTGAAGCATGGTGGATGGGATTCAATAAACACACACAGCCTTAGTAAGTAATATTAAAATACAAATATCATCTGAAAGAGGGTGGAGACACTAAATCATGTTTCTTTTAAAGGTATTTGTGTTGTGACATTGTAGAAGTTGTATTATGTGCATAAAAAGTAAATCTGTTGAACTGTTCATCATTTTCAATAGCTCTCTTTTGTCATGATTGAAAGTAAAAATGAGTTGATTGTCCTTGGATGTTTTGTAGCGTCTCACTAGTAGGACTCTGTGTAATCAGTTTGTAGAACTGACAGCGCCTCCCTCCTTCCCTGTCACTCTCTATCTTCTCTGAAGTGGGTGTAGAGATATTGGGTGCGCCCTCCCCCCGTTGCCCTCCCTTCTCCTCTGTTGCTCTCCATGCCCCTTTGGCTGCAATTTTTAAACTAGTGGAGTGTTCAGGGAGGGAATGAAGGGAGGGGGTTCGACACCCTTCAAGAAATAAAATAGTAATTGTAACACTAGCACAAGGTTATGATGGGTCAGATGTAGGGGAATGTCTAACAGTAAATATAGGCCTACTAATGAGTAGTTGGAAATCATGCATGTGGGGAACAATCCGCTCAGTTTAATGAAGGGGTAGCTGCAGGATCAGCAGTGTCAAAACCTCAATTTAATCCATGTAACAAACAAAGCAAAACACCTAACCAGAGGACATGGTGCTGCTGAACAGCAGTGTCCTCAAAGAGATAGTAAAAAGGAACATTTAGATTCAGGATGCAGGCATGTGTTCTGATAAATATTCATTGATTTATTAAAAAGTAGCTGGGAGCAGTTTGGAGTGGTGACCTTGAGAGGAGTAGAATCTGCAGCTTTTACTCAGGTAATGGAGGTAACATAGACTGAGGTAGAACGTGGGTGGATGGACCGAGGCAAGCAAGAGGGCAGTGATGCTACGAGGCAGAGAGAGGGAGAGGAAGAGATGGAAAGTGAGAGCAGGAAAGAAAGAAGTGGTGGAGTGGGAGAGCGGAAGAAGGGGCTGGGTTGCAGGCACTCTTGACTCTTCTCCTCATAGGCATGCAGATTTAAATGGAGGTCTGGCTTCTGGCGCTAGACACTAACGCCCCCATCCACTGTGAGCTAAACTAAATGTTTTCGCCTTCTGTGCCCAGGAGCAATAGGAAGATTTGGAGGAGAGGCAGAGGAAGGAGGGAGGAAGAGCAGGCGTGCAGGTAAGATAGCTTCCTTCAGGGATTTGGATAATGATGTTGGTGATTAGGATGTTTGTTATTATGTTGGCAATGTTTGTGTGAACACCCACCAAAATATATATCTATATAAATAAATAAACCACAATACACAAGAGCAAAATGTAGCACAGCAAACAATGATTAAGTGTGGATTCTCAAGGCGTGAATAATGTGAATTTGTAAAGTTTCAACAATGAAATGAGTCACAAATGGAACTAAACATAAAAAAATATAAACACATACGCATGCATAAGTAATGCTCACAAAGCACAGAGTGTGAAAATATACACACACACACACACACACACACACACACACACACACAAAACCACATCTAATGCAAATACACTCTATCCAATATGCACAATGTCCTGCAGAGATTTAAAGCTCTCAACATGTCAAACAGGTTTGCTCAGAAATCCTAAAGCAAGTGTTATTTATCATACTTAATTTAGTACTACTTAATAACACTTGGAAGTGCAGTGTGACATGTTGAGAGTCAGATCTCTATGGGATGTAAGTCTCCCCACAGTTCTCACACTGTGTTACGACAGAAGGAGCTCACTCTCTGGCGAGATATGCTAAGTGAGGTGCACATTACTTACTGAGATGAGGGTTGATGGGAGCTGTGAAAGAGAAACGCCAGGGACAGTCATTAGTACAAAATATCTGAGCCATCTGTAAATATGTGAAACACATATTAAAAGGAAAACATGCACAGAGACACACACAGCTGTACAAGAACACAACCCCCCCCAAAAACGTGGCTGATACAATGTTTTGTGTGCTCTACTATAGGTTACACAGAATACCACACAAGTATGCCCACAGTAGCCGTTGCCATTAACCTTTCGTCCTGCTGTCATCTACAGTTTAGGGACAGGAGCTAATAAAAGTCTACATGTATAAAACTTAAGAGATTGCACACTTTGCTCAGTGTTCTACTGTCATAAACGAAATGAAAGAGGCCCATGGGAAGGTTGGAAATATTGTCTTGTGATATTAAAACACTGGAAGCCTTTTAGAGTGTGTACGCTTTATCTTCGTCAAGCTCTATTGCTTTCACTGTGCACAAACAAAAAGTAACTACATAGCCAAACTACAAGTAGTATTCTGGCACACACAATTTAATGATTACTGAGCAGACAGAAAGAGAGATGTCTGGGATTTAAAGTGGAAAAGGTGACAGCAGTTGTTCTCTGTTATCAAATGTAAAAGATGAAAGGATTAGGAAGACCAGCCTGACCACATTAATAAGCTTATAGCGCAACTGCTTATCATTATTGCCATTTACCAGCATTGCTGATGTTCTTGTTCAAGGTGACTTCCATTTGGAGCACTAAGCCTATTTTATACTTCCATTTAGAAGCCAATAAATCATATAAATGAGTAATACAAGTGTGTCTGCTAATTACTTTCCTGTAACATCCTTGATTCTTTCTGTGTTGTCAAAACCTCCAATATGGAAACTTTGAAATCAAACACTGATGACTTGAGTCCACTGAAATACATGCAAGGCTTCATTTACATTCTGTCTACCTAACCGTGGTTCAATGCTTCCCTCATTGATAATTTAAGAGGCTACTGCCGCAGCAAACACAGAAAGGTCAAGGGTATCACACAGAGTTACAACGAGCCAGTTAGTCGGCACTTCACTTTTTGCAGAGTAAATACCATTTAACCTGCCAAGAAGATTCATGGGCATTTTCATGATCGATTGATGACCGGCTGAATAGATGCGATACATCGGCTTTAGCACAAAACTACATTGCTGTGTGATTTATGAAACCCTGCTGTTCATGGGAGGAATTGATTTTAATCCAACCAATTAAAGTGAGTAATAACAAATCATTCCTACAAAGGAAAATGTGTATTAAAGAGTGGGGGAAGTACTGCGGGGCTGTTGGAATTGGTCTTTTAAAAGGAGAAACTCAAGTAATGATTTCTGTTTATTGCTGTGTGGTTCATGGAAACCTATGTTCACTTGCTATGTGGAAAAAAGAGAAATAAGCACACACACACACACACACACACACAAAGAAAAAACCTTTGCATTTCCAATTTAATCATATAAAACATTCAGTGAACTGCAATGCTCGAGCTGAAGCCTCGTTGTGAGCGGGGCACGAGTGTGGAAAGAACAGGGTGTACGCTCTCTCTCATCACGTATAAAAGAGAGAAAATGTTTTAAATGACAACTTACAGCCTAAGGCCTGTGAAACGGATGCTGAGTTTTCAGACAAAACTCTTTCAGCCCCCCTTCAGCTCGCCGGCTCTTTCCCTCTCAACCTCCCATTTCCTGCAACTCCCCTCACTCCCTCCCCAAGCCTTCCCGCTACCCCTTCTTCCCCCCTTCTTTCTTCCAAGTGGTTATGAAAATATGTTTTCTTGTCAGTATTTTTTTACCTGCAGCCTCCCCAGGCTGACTCACCGTGCCTTAGTCCAGATGAATGTGTCTACTCAAGCAGTGTCTCTACCCCCACAGAGGAAATCAAGCTGAGCACAGAGCAGGCTCAGAGGCCGCTTTACTACTGCTGTACATGCACACGCTCTCTAAAATACACACACACACACACACTCACATATTTTACTTCTAATTTAGATGACAGTTTTGGATATGGGTAAATGAATGAGGAATACATTGAGAGTGAGTTATATTATTGACTCAACCATTTAAAATCACAAATGTTACAGCCCTGTCTTTGAATACTTTTGTAGCTCCTGAAAAGATGAGTGCACACCAAACACTCTCCTCAAAATGCACATGTTGTTAAAGCAGGTGTGAAGAGCCCTCAAGCAAGCTGAAGAAGGCTTTAGAAAATATATTTTACTTATGTCTTAATGCTGCAGCACTCTGTTTTCCCCTCCAGGTAGAAAAGCCTCAAATAATGATCAAGGATGAAATGTAATTTTGATAGTTCTCAAGATAAACAGTCCCAGTGATCATGAAGTGAAGGAACGTGAGTTATTAATGCAGCTCTTTATAAAATTTCTGTTACGACATGTCCTTAACCCACGTATTAGGTGCATGTCCGATTCCTGGTTTCTACTTTTCCAACAAGGACAAAACAAACTGCTTCTTGATGCATGAGTGCCTTCCATCCAAATTGCCTAATTTTGATTGAAACACAAAGTGAGCTCATTGACCGCCAAAGGACAGCGTCTGTAGAGGCCGTTCTGGATACAAACACTGACTTCATCTTGGCAGGATTCCATGCCCACTGGCCTGCGGCTGTTTTATGAAAACACCAGACAATTCCACGGCTGCAGCCAAGTGTCCTCATAGACAATAGCAGCACATCTTTTTTTTTTACTGACCTCATGCTCATCAAGATTCCCATCCATCATGTTTAGGTGGGCGCCATGATGTTCTGCGAAGGCCCTGAGACAGCTTCACAGCTCCAACTATCAGTTGGAATAATAACAGCGTGGGCAAATTTAATTCAGCAATCTTCTTTTGTCTCATTGACAAAAATAACACGAGCGACATCACACTATTATGTCCTTTAGTCATATTGTGACTCCCTAACAGAGGTTGTAACTGTTGTGCACTGGTCCTGCAGTAACACATACAGACGCATGGACACACCCAAACACAGCCATCACACGTACAATAATTTCCTATGTGTTATCCTTCTCTTGCATCAGTGTGTGTATAACACATTGATGCAAGCAAGGGATTCCTTAATGGATGAACTTTGCTCTGGTTTAAAAAGTATGTAGAGGATTGAGACAAAAAAAAAAGGAAAAAAATGCCCTGGGTAAAATATGCAAAAACAAAAAGAAGACACAGCTAATGCAAACACATAATTAATAAAAGCCATGAGAGGTGTGCCATATCATATCACTTATGATTATTATTTTATTTAATACAAGTGTATCATATCATCATTTTAATGATACTGCAAAATGTCTTGACCACGTACAGCTGCAAAGCATGGATGAAAGTGAATGTAACATGGCTGCCTAATCTGCTGCTGGTGTGGAAGTAGTTTGGATGCTGAAGGTCAAATCTACAACCAACCGTAATATTTAATAGGTAATATGTAATATGTAAGAGGATGGTTATGGTTTATTTTTTGAACATTTCTGTTTGTATTGTCACACCCTAACAACATTCATTGTTAGGGTGTGACGATAACAGGCTATTTCATCTTCGGCCACCCTCAGAAACCATATGTTGCAAGTGTAACATGTTTGCTTTAAAGTGTTGGTTCAATAGCTCGTTTTTTCCCAGGTAAATAAACCATGGCTAATGTTTGCCAAATACTCAAAATGCGATTTATTATGGCCAACAACATTTGAGAACCAGTATATCAGAAAAATAACAAATTAAAATCATAAATCCAAACCCCAGTGGTGTCCCAGTACTTTTTACCCCTCAGTCAGTCAAGTTCATTCTATTGTCTTTCAGTGTACTACCCAGGTAGTGTGTGTCTGTAGGCTTTAAGCCTTGAGCTCTTATCTGTATCCTTGTCTATGTGTATCCTGGTGGGATGATTGAAGAAGCCTGCATGCTGCTCCACACTCTGCAGGGACGACTAGGTGTTGCTGGCTCAATCAGAATCCAAAAAACACAAAACAAAAACCAGCATGCAGCAGAATAGAATCAAATCTTAGTACTGTACAGTATTCTTCTTTAAGTATCAATCCTGTGTCTTTAGTGTAACAGTAAATTATTAGTATTATTGAGCATTAAGGCCTGCAATCTGAACGTAGTCATAGTCACAATCACATTCACAAATCTTAACTCAGAAACTTGCTGTCTTCTTGACATTCATCTCTGATTGTTTTTTTGTTTAGTTAGTTTTGATAGATCCACTAGGTAAATTTAACAGTGGCATCGTATCACTTTCCCCTTGCCATATTTCCACAGACAATAGCGCCTGCTGTTAGCAGGCTACATCAACAAGTCACCAGAGAGTCCACACAGACTTAACACATAGAAAACAAAAAATTGCTGCATCAGAAGTCTATTTGATAACTACAAAATGAAATGAAGCTCCTCAATAATTGTTAATTTGCAAAAGGGAATTCTTAAGTGGGACAGCTCGTGATGTTCTGTTTACACTTGAAGTCTAGAGAGTTTCTGACAAGGTAGAAGGCTTAATCTATGTAAGTTAAGCATTTAGTAAACTAATGTGGGTTATATAAGCTTGAGGCCCAGGTATTTAAGAAAAACAAAACTTTCGGAACTGTGTTTTACTGAGTCCTAAAGTAAACTGACAGTTGATACAATGACTGAACAAAAGCTCAGACAGACTCACACCTCAGCTATAGCAGGCAATAGAAATCAAGAGAATATTTAGTGGGTTTTGACTTTAAGACGGGCATCTTACTGTTTTTGTCAGTACGAGCTGCACAAAAATGGAAAATTAAGAAACAGCAGCAGTGCTTTACTGTGCCACTGTAAAGGCTGACAGGAAGCTTGAACATTAAATCCTTTGTCCTTTGTCTTGGAGAAAACCAGAGAGAGAGAGAGAGAGAGAGAGAGAGAGAGAGAGAGAGAGAGAGAGAGCGCGAGAGAGAGTTATGAGAGGCACCAAACAGATGCTGAGTTTGTCACTGCAGCAAAATTTAAAAGAGTGTCTTTGGAGCTTGGTGACACAACCATCCTTCATCCTACAGCTGGGAACACTATAACCACTTTTGTGTTTTCTTGCCAACTCACAGAAAAGCTGCTACCATCGGCTTTATGTGCATCAGAATGATCGCTTGGCCTATTGGGCAATGATAAGCAAACTCGATCATACTTGGATTTTAGAAGCCTTATGTTAAAACTTTACAGCAGAACAGCAATGTTTGTCCTAGCAGCTTCCAAACAGGCTAGCAGTCATATTTCCTTGGTTTGTTGTTGGTTTTTGTACACAGTCATTTTCAGGGTCATGGGGAGCCAAAGAGTACTTGCTCTAGTCAAAGGCATCAAGCATTCATACAAACATACAAGCAAACATAGACGGACAAACAGAGAGAGACTAATACATTCACATTCACCATTGAGGGTTATGTGGAGACTCGTGACCTGTATGTCTTTTTGATTGCTGGAGGAAACTAAAGCAAACACAGGGGAAATGAATACAAACTCCACACTGCAAGAACAAGGACTAAAGGTGAATTCCCAACCACAACTTTCTAGCTGTGAAGTAACAGTACTAACCACTGATGAAACCATCACATACTTGCAATGACTGAGTTTACACACACGGTCACTTTTTGGCGTACCCTCTTTGGGTTTTTGATAGAAGATTCAAAGGTTTTACATGCTCATAGAATATGAGGCTGCGCTATATGCTGTTTATAAAGGTTGGTTGCAGTAAATCTTTGGTTCTAAGTGACAAAGTTTTAAAGAGATAAGCAGTGTGTCCCAATTCCACACTACATGCTCAGTATTATACTAAATATCAATTATGTAGTACACAAAAAAATCAACATACTTAACAACATACTCCTCCGTTTGCTTTGGACATTGCATTGTGGGAGAGTAGTGTACATCAACAGCACACTCACAAAATCTGTGTTGCATACTAACTGTTTTAGAGTATACTAATTTTGACATCAGTTGCTTTAGTCATGCTTAGCAATCACTGGCTCATTCACCATCTGCTTGGCTACCAGCTGACCAGTAACGCCCAATCATATTCATGTGTACAGCGATGTACAGCCATTATAATATCACACTAATGACTATTACTCTGCTCAGTACTCAGAACTCCTTCCAACATTGTTTGCTGCTGCAGCTAGCTTTTAGTATTGTGGTTTTAACAAAAAAAAATGCTCATGCACAGTTTGTGTTTTTTGTGGGTGGATTTATTCTCCCAGCAGAATCCTTGCTGCTGCTCAGATTGTTTGAGAGCTCCCTTAAACAGCAGAGCAATTTCCGCCAAATCTAACTGCATAACCATTTGCTGGTCTGTTTTTTTGACATGTATCTGACTTAAACTGAAGTTTGCCTGTTAGTAATGAATGTGCTAAATATAGGAGGCTCTGTAGAAAAGAAGTGTCTCTGGTCCAAGTATAAGAATAATTGGGTTTCTCTTTCTTCCAAGAAAACATTGCATTATTTCTCCCAGAGATAGATAGAAGAGATAGAATAAAGCCCAAATGTAAGATATGATAAGATAAGATAAGACACCTTATAGTAAACACACTGATTATGAACAAAATATACCACAACATAATTTAAAAATCTAAATTTCAGTTCACCGTAAACCTGTAAAACCATAAAACTTACGGATGGCAAACAGGTCACTGTTCCCCAGTGAGAGTGAAAGGGAAGCGATAATGGAGATGATCATGGACTGTATATCACATATTATGGGACACGTTGTCTGAGCAGAGTGGAGAGGATTCTGCTCAGACCTACATTAGGCTGCTACAGTGATGCTCTGCTGTGTGTGGGAGAACAGAGCAGCCCTAGAGTGATAATTAGTCCAGTCTCTTGTTGGGCAGACGATTCGCACATCAGCATTGGCTCTCTTCTTTCCTTTTCTTTTCTTTTACTTTGTTTCTCTGTACATAATCACCCATCCCTCGTCCCAACTTGGCTGTCTCAATCTCTCCTTCTGTGCCTCTCTCTGTCTTAATTAGCCTCAATTCTCTGTGCTTCACTTTGATTGGATTCAATTCGATTCAGTACAACTGAATTCAATTCAAGGTTTAGCAGAGACCACACAATACCACAGTAAGCACTAAAAAAATAACAGCAGAGATAGTTTATCTGTGTCTCTCTCTACCCCAATTCTCTTTTCAACAGCCATGATGAGCTGCAGTGAAACTGAATAATTCACAACTGCAGCAGCACCACTCAGGAAGACCTCAGCAGTCAGTGATAGACAGAAAACAGTCAGCCAGTTTGTTTCTGAAAATGCACATCTCAAGTACCTGTGCATCTGTTCACTGGCAGTGCTGTGCCTACTGTGGATATTAATGTAGCTTTTGTATTTCAGCCAGTATGCCGTCCCACAGGCTGGAGACTGTACCTCCTTTTGCAAGCTGTGACTTGATTCTGTAGAGAAATACAGTGTGTTTTGATGTATTCTCGCTGGCCTGACCAGGCTAGCGTGCCATCTTCATGATCCCTCTGGCTGCTATACTATTACTACAGTCCTGGTTCAAAACCTACATCAACCAAACATTGTGACAGAAGTAAACATGTTATTGTGCTTGTGTATCATGTTAGAGGAGTCATGCAAAGTAAAGCAAAACCCAAACTACATTTTAGATTTATCTGCTTTGATGATCTGGCTTGTAGAGAAACATCAAGTCAGTCTTTGCCCCAGTCCAGGATACACCTGACTCAAGCAATACATAAAGGTTACGAGTAAGACTTGATCAGTATGGCTGTCCCGTAACAGTTGACTAGTTTTCATTGGTCAGTTGTGAGACCCAGCAGTGAATGACTGAATAAATAATGTGATTCTGATACCCCTCAAAATATATTTGTTTAAATAATTACATTAATATCATAAAAGTGCTACGACTAATGACTGGAACTAACAACTATTAGCTGACATAAGGGCAGCCCTAATAAATAGTCAGTTGAGCAGCATTCACTCAAACTAGCAAAGAAGCAAAACAAGCTGATTTCAAGGAGTCCTCTGATGACTGAATGTGTTAGATGCAAATCGAATAATTTTAATGAGTTCACTTTTTACTGGTCCTTCCTCATACATATCATGCATGATACATCATCATCATAATCATCAGAATGATTGGTGATACGAGAGTAAACTTTTGATATCCATCAGCGTTTCGTTGATAAACGTGTCATCATGCAGCAGCACAAACTTGAGTATTTTTGAGTTAACTGAAGGATAACATTGCCAGCTGTTGCTGTAATTCTTTCACCTGCAAAACCACATTTTCGCAGGTGACCACAAGTTGTTTCTCCCCTTCCCTGTTTTTCTCTATAATGTGAACACATTAAAATACTGAAGGATGAGTAGACTGATTACTGTCCTCCAAAAAGACATCCCTAGAATCAATACAGTATACAGCACTCACCGCTGTAAGTGACAATCCGGATGGTGGAGTCGCCCTCTCCAAAACGAGTGATGGGAGTGAGGCGCACCTCGTAGGATTCTGGCTTTATGAGCTCAGTCAGGTTGTGTGTCATGAGCTCTCCTTTGTTGATTGTTCCGTCCACAGGGATCTCCTGCTCCCACCATCGCTGTAACCCCATCTGGATGGGAGGAGGAACCACAACAGGTTCAGATTATTGAAAATCATTGTTTCTGTACTTATACAAACACACAGATATGTTATACATGACAGACCCACAAAAAGCATTTGAAACATTAACCATATTCTGCTACTTAAAAATTTGTCATGGGTTTGTATCCCATTAGAATTAAAGTGTTTTGATTCATATTTTACCGATAGAAAGTTAAGGAACGAAGTTATCCTATAACCTGCCTGTAACATGGAGTTCCGCAGGAAAGTGTTTTATGCCTCCTGCTGTCTGTTGTGTGTGAATGGCCTATTTGGTTTCTCATAGAATGAGAATTCCTAAGTAAGGATTTCAGTAAGATCTAGGAATAATTTACAGACAATAAGCTGTCTCTTTTATTTGGATCAAATCCTAGCTAATCAAGTTCAACAAGTTTGGACTTTTTCCTGCCGAACCCTCTGTTAGAGACAACAAAACTATGTTTTGGGGAAGAAAAGCTCATTCAACTGATAAAGAAAGTCTAAGACTGTTTGCTAAATCTCTTGTTCTGTGCTGCTTTGATTAGTCACTCTGTTCATGGTTTGAAGGTCCGGGAAAAACACCTCAGTTTAACTACAGATCTCTTAGAACAGGTTGTTTTGGATTTGGAAGGGCAAATGCTGACAAAAGTCCCTTCCAACTGCTAGGGTGGTCACCCTTAAAGCATAAAGCTGTACAACTACAAGTCAGTGAGGTCCCTGAGCATCTCAAAGACTGCCATTTTAAAGTACTGAGAACTCATTCCCACCAGTCTAGAGAGGTTCTGTGTTGGCAGGAGTTGGAACAAGCAACCATTGCACATTAAAAGTAACCACTACAATTTTAAGCGGCTATAATCAATAGTTTTATATCAACAATGGATCAACTGACTACTTGTATGTGAAAGGGGACACTCGTAGTGCCAACCACAGAACAATTCGTTTTCCTGCAGTTCCCCTCAGCTCTATGAAGCTTTAAAGCGAGTTTCAGTACATTTTTTTGTTTTTATGACTCGCAACTCCACAGTTTTGGATGTTTAATCAAACATCATTCATGGAAATACCAAGTATCAATGAAAACATGGAAGACACTGATCTTGGAAACAAATGCGTACATGACCACAGCAAATATGTATTCCCTCCACAATCAGTGTAGGATGTTCCATCTCATCTGCCAATTAACCTTGTCTATAGGCATTTGTATGATCCACCAACATTAAATGTTGCACAACAAAAACATTTATTTTCTCTGTAAAGTGTTGACAGCTAGCTGCTCATTATCCATATTTACTTTCAAAGCTCCCAGTCTTTGAATTCAAGGGCTGCTATTAGCAAGCAGCAGAGATATTCTTATATTTATAATTTTTCCCATTAAATATATTCTTCAGTCTGCATTACTGTATTCGCAATACAGGTATGTTGCGAGTACAGTACGGACAACACCTTTGTACTCTGCATATGATTGCCTCATTCTTCTAAAGTTTTACTTTAATGATTTTCAAAAATGTTTTGCAATCCCTTAATACAGAGACCTTGAACTGACAGGAATTTTATATCGCGTCTTTGCACAATGCAAAGCACACAACTGAATCTGTTTTAAGGTGACTAAGCTCAGGTAAAACTATCTCACGCTTTTCATGTCTTGTGATACAATAAAGCCCCTCCGAAATTCAAAGAAACAAAATGATGCCTTGTTGCTGAAGTTGCTGGGGGCAATGAGAAGAGAAGTAGGGTACATTTTATCCTTGAGAATCAGTTTAAGGGGAAGAGCTGCACAAAGACAAGTTACAGATTCTGCATCACAATTAGTGACTTTACATGCCCTTCTCAGTCAAAGGAAAAGAGGAAGTGTGTTACTAGCAAAGAGAGACAGAGATAGAGTGAATGAAGGTGTGATAGCAGTGAAGCAGAATCAGCGTGCGTGTGTGTGTGTATGAGAGAACAATACCAATTAAGTAATTACATGGAGCCTGATGATCCACAATTATGGGGCGCAAGTTTTTATCACCATTAGTTTGCAGGTAAATAGAGTGTTTTGTCTGTCACTGGTAATTGCAGAGAGAGCACTTGTCCCTTCCTATCCTTTGAAATTTTTACCTATCCTCTATGTACAAAGGCATGGCAGTTAATTGCCATACATTACACATTGATGGCTTGAAAGTGTGTGTGTGTGTGTGTGTGTGTGTGTGTGCACATGTGATATTTTTAATAAGAGTGAAAACAACCTTTCTATGCAAATAGAAAGTGTAATGTAAAATTAAAATGGTGACAAAGAAGTACATCTGCTGTTTCCAACCAGAGACTCACTAAAAACGTCTGTAGATTGGTGGTGAGGGGTTTGCAGATGACAAAGAGAACAATCTGCAGTCATAGGCAGTTGAATGTGTATATAACCTTAAACCGTAAAGTTTGTGTAACGTGCTGATGCAAATGTGTGCATCTATCTATCTATCCATGTATCTATGCTGACAACAGTTTCTATAGTGTCATTTAATGCACCTATCCTAACAAATCAGTTTTAAGCAATGGTGTCTATGCAAATTGACGGCTTTGACCATTTTACCAAATTTACCTCCGCAAGGAGATTATGTTTTCAGTGCTGTTTTTTTGTTTGCCTGTCAGCAGGATTATGGAAAACCTACTGATCAGATGAAACCTGGCGGAAGAGTGTAGCATGGTCCAAGGAAAAACCCAATCCATGTCGGAGCAGATCCAAATCATAGGGCAGATACACCAATTATTTTTCACTTTCATTAACATTGAGAGATAGGATGATTGTCTATAGCAAAATGAAATTAATTTGCATTAGCTGCATCATTCATGTTTCACAATCACTGGCTTATTTATCAGCTGCTTGGCTCCTAGCTCACTCGTTGCATCCAGTCATATTCATGCAGGTGTACAGTGTTAGTTTACTGATATGCTCCCTCCACCACCCAGAGATCCTACTTATGTGCCATATTTTGGCATTGTTGATTTGTTGATGTTGTGTAATAGACAGTACTGTATAGGTCTCATAAAAGAAAATGCCAGATTGTAATGGGAGCACCATGTCAATTTACTTTGAGAATGAGAATGTCTTGGGGTTTGTATGTTACTTCATTATTGTTCTCAAAAGTGGTTGTGTAATACCATGAATGTAAACAAAAGCAGTAAAAAAGATATATATGTGTAGCTATATTTCAGTTTTGGAGATAGGTGTCAGATTTAAAAACATTTAATTGGGAAAAGAATGGCTAATAGGGGACCAATTTGTGTATGTGTATGTGTCCCAAAGCTCCAGGCAGATGGAGTCCTTAAATGCTAGTCTTGGCAGGCACTGCCTCCAAACAACAAGTGGAAGCAAATAGTTCAGTTTTTTCCATATCAAAAAGGAAGTGTGCTTAAATGTGCAAATCAAAGCAAACTTGAGATGTTGATTGATAAAAACATTTAACTTTTCAGGTGTTTTGAATCATACACAAACTTATTGGCTTATGGATTTTGCACCTTTGTTTTGATTCCCATTAATGTTCACTGAATCCCCGCGTCCAATTAAGGTTTCTGTTTACATCCCATTACCTTTCATTCTCCACATTTTCCCCACAGAGGCAGAGTGCCATATTGATTCAATTTCATTTGATTGCGGCAGTAGTTCATGGGGGTTTTTATGGCAACTTTAAAAAACAGCAGGATTGATCAAAGCAATTGCAGGAGCCAAATGAAACACAGGAATAATCAAAAGTGATGATGTAATGTGAGACGAGCACTGATCTACTGTAGATTGCCGGCATGCAATTAGTATGGCTCCTATTCATCTGCTTGCACATCCTGACTTGACAGATCAATTGAAAAAGACGAAAGAGGGGGAGGAGGAGGAAGAGATAAAGCAACAGGCAGAAGAACGAGTTGCAAGATGGCAAGATGTGGGTTGAAAAAGTTATCTTACGGGGGTGGGAGTTGGGTAAATCAAGTTTCCGGACAGCAGAAAAGGTTCTTTAGTAGCCGGCTACAGTATCAAAACAAGGGCAGATGTCACACCTTTCCATTGTATCCTTGACAGTCATAGTGATTTGTGTTTTGTGATTCTTGCATGCCTTTCAGCTAGAGCTTAATTCCCATTTCCCCTTCAGCCAGACTGTCTCTCACGAGGGCACTGGACGATAACACAGAGCAATCCATTACAAAGGCATAAGGTCTACTAGCTCTTAGTATTAATTCAAAAGTAGCGATAATTCTCCTGGAATGGCAGGGGAGCTGGTGCTGGATCTATAACTAGATCGAAGAGGTGTAGTCCACGTGCCGAAGCTTTCTTTCTTTCCAGTGGTATCTTTCTTTTTTTAATCATTCATTTATTTACAAAAGGAGTCTCTCCTCCTACTCATTTCTCTCTCCTTCTCTCTCATTTCCTCTTGCTCACTGCCTTGACATTTTTGCCTCTTTCCTTCATCACAAAAAGACATTTAAAAAAAAAAATTCTCATTATCAGTCTAAATCAATACTCAAAGCTGAGACTCAATCAATCACAGAGGGTATACTGTATAGCAAACCCAGTGAAAAAGTCTGAATTTTCCCTACAGCAAAGAATCTCTTTAATCTAAGACAATGGAAGATTGTTTTTTATGCCTCGCAGGAAGGAAATAATGGTCACAAAATGTACCCTCTTGAGATATCAAGGCAAGAAGGTGGAAAGAAATGAATTTGCCCAAACACTGATTGTCTGCTGAAATAAACTGGGGTAGTGAAGTTCTCTCTTTTAATAAACAAATGCAGAAAAGGTTGAAATGTTAATGTGATTTCTGAATTGCCATGGGTCAGTTCTACAACAGCATGCAGACATTATAATCAGTTCAAAAACTGTGTGCACGACCAGCTGAAAAGAGGAAAAGCAAATGTATATTCCTGGCAAGTTTTCAGACAAACGCCTGGCAAGCGCAAACATGGGCTCTGCAAGCACAACATCATTTATTACCAAAAGACCAACTGAGATTGTTGACAGAAAAATCATTGCTACACAAACATAACTGGTTTAGAATGTGTTTTCAAGCTTCAATTCCTTGAGGGTGTAGTGTGAAACAAACATGAAATTATATTATTCATTGCAAACACAACTGTCAGGGCATGCCTGCTAATTCTGAGCAGAACTGAGATGGATTTAGCATTGCAGCATGTGCTACAGTCTTTTGATATATGCTGTTTTTTATTAAACAGGGTCCTGAATGGTGGCTCAGCGCTGCAATGCAAAGGCAATGTTAAACTGAAAACATGGGGATTGTTAATGGAGCAAGTTCACTATTTCAAACTGTATGTAAACTGAAGGAGGTGCCACACATGCTGCTGTAAATAATAAAAAAAAACAAAAGTGCTCCACACTGCCATAAGGGGGGTGGGGGTGTAGGGGGGGAAGGAAGGTACACATTGATTGCCACAGAGAGAAAATGTAACCATGTCATCCATCAGTGCTGCCAGCCTGTCATCTGTGAAGTTTACTTGAGAAGCAGGGAAAAACTGGAGCTATGCTTGCTCTTTCTCTCTGTGGGGTTCCCTTCTACTCCTCTGACTGAGCTTCTGATGGAGAGCACAAAACAGAAGCAATTCGTGAAAACCACAGAACTCATTCAAACGACTGCCCTTGACAGGTTCTTAGTCATCCTGCCCGGCCCACAGAGGCTCATTCACATCCCCAAATACTGCAGAATAAGACAGACAATGAAGATTTGGCGCTGTCAAACTGAATTCAACAAGCACAAGCTGTGCAAACACGTCTATCAGACGTTTAAATTGGCAGTGAGAAAGGTTTCTTCAGCCCCATGGCACAAACGACTCTAATTAATTTAAGAGGGGTCAAAACGAGGCTGACCATTACCAATGACTCAGCGATTGTTCTATCAGGAGCCAACATTTCTGGCTTTTAAAACTCATATTCTAGCTGTAACAAAAGCTCCCTCAGAACAGAGTTCTGTGGGACTGAATAACACTTTTTCAATGCAACAAGCACTTCAGTGATGCACCCAACGGTTAAACATAGAGAAAGAGAACAAATCAGTATGCAGGAGGGTGCTCAGATTGATAACTCTTAGTCATCCTACCTGTCTGATGCCTAGTCTGTAGGCGACAATGCGGTCCACAGCGTTGGGGTTCATCTGGGTCCACTGGAGCTTGAAGCCGTAGACTCTGGGCCTGTTCTGCCACAGAGGACTGTAGGTATCATAGTAGAACTCTGGGGGGTAGGCCTTGCCTGGACAGAAAGCAGATTGATAATTATACTTAACGCTTTAATGCTCATTTACAATGAAAAAACTCTAAGCCTACTAACCATATGGAATTTTATGGTTCCTGCAAACCAGGCATAAACACTTAATGTCAAACTGTCATACACATAACACAATAAGACTTGCCAATGACTCTTTTTTAAGTGGAGGACTAAAAAGAATAATTCATATTGCTGCTATGGAGACTTACAGCCCAATATCAGCATTGTCAATGCCTCAAAGTATGTATATCACTCCTCCGTGTATGTTTTTAATGAACTTAATGAACTCACAGACACATTGGTAGAATGAATTTCATGGCAGATTCGGAAAAAGGTCTGATCTTAAAGTGGTCATATTATGCTCATTTTCAGGGTTATCATTTTATTTAGGGGTTGTACCAGAACAGGTTTACATGGTATCATTTTCAAAAAACACCATATTTTTGTCCTTCTGCACAATGCTGCAGCTCCTCTGTCAACCCTATGTGTTGGAGGCTCCGTTTTAGCTACAGAGCGAAGCATCTCACTTCTATTTGATCTTTGTTGGGAGTTGCACATGTGCAGTACTGGGTTAATCAGAAGCAGAGCAGAGTGGGTCCTGAGAAGCTGGTAACCCCGGCTTTGGTTCAGCTGTACATGTTCCCGAAATAGCTTAGCAACCTAGACTGGAGCCAGAGTTTCAGAGTGGTGAGTTATTACTTTGTAACAAATTGATCTTTCATAGGTAAAGATTTCACTGTGTCTCTACATCACAGTAACAACTTTGTCCATTGACTGCCTGAAGGATACAGTAGGTCAGGGGGGTGGGGGTGAGGGGGACGCAGCAAGTGGATGTCTTGTCACTGTGTGTGCTGCAGCTAAAGGCTTGTGCAGACTACTACCGACGACTGGCGACCAATGATCAACCACTGATTTCTGATCTTAGCCTGACATTTGCCAAAATCGTGGAATGTGAACTAGGCTTAAGTGTGTTTCTCCACCAGTGTTTTTGAGGGCCTGCCTGACTACCCGCTATGCGAGCATTATGGCACGTGTTACAAAGTGACGTGGCTAGAAAGTAAAGGCTGGACTACAATCAAGCTGTTTTCAAGACCGTTCAGGAGCTTTTCTGTGGGAGATGGTAACTCCTTTTGGGGTGAACTTTTCTCAGCTTTCTCACTCGCAAAACTAGTACATGCACAAAAAAGATATATAACTCAATAAAGGAAAGGGAAAAAGCTAAAAAGCACAATATGACCTTTTTAAAGCATTTGCATGATTTTATAGTGAGCAAGTATGAATGTAATTGGTAAACAAATAGATAAAAAGTACTTGTTTTTATTTTGAAAGGTCAGTGCAATTAGGATTGTATTAGTATTTAGTGAAACAGATGAGAATTCTGTACTGTAATTTTTTGAACATCGCTAGATTACAATTATAATTATTTGATCTCAGTTCTTGGCTTGTATTTTATGTATTGCAGGCAAGCTCTGCCCTGCTGCACTGATGTATTTTGCACACCAGGCAGCCATGCTAAATGTAAACCTGTAATTGGTTCATTTGTTGACTTGAGACTTCTATAAAGCCAAAAAGAGAGCTGAATTAGCATGATACAGATGAACAGTGTCTTCACTATGTTCTATTTTTATCTACTCTGTATGGTATTCCTTGTTGCTGCTATGACTGATTTTTTCCTCCAAGATCATTAAAGTTTCATCTTATGTTACATGACATAGAGCACTTTCATGGCTTTGAATCAAAGCATGTCCCACATTGTAGTATGTCTCATCAACTACACAGCTCACTGAACACTTCATAACAGCATAACATCAAGTTAGTTAAACTTCAGGAATATCAATCTGTCCAGTTAGGAAGCATAAGCGATTTTGAAGCAAAGTCACTCGTTTTGGTGCAAATTAAAAAGTGACAGATGCACTGGAGAGAGGCAAAAGCAAGACAACCCCAAAAAAGACAATGGTTTTGCGGGTGGTGTCTACAGGCAATTGCTCTGTCCTTATCCTTCCAGACTGACTGTTCACTAGTTTTGTGTTTTGCTAGTGTCCTTGTCACTGCTTCCTTAAGTGTCCATCCCATGCAATGGCAGATCCTGAGTGCTAAATGTCTGTATACTCAAAACCACTCCTCAGAAAAAAATTATTTCATACAGGTGGACTACCACAGAGCTCCTCTCGAACCTTTTCTTTCAATAATACGGTTTGCTTTCTTGGAATCTGTAAATATTAATTTTTTTCTAGTAATCGTGTCAAGAACAGAAGAAATCTTTCAAGTTTTCAGATTTCCAGTCATTCTGCAAATGGATTTCTGACAGCTGAAGTAGGAGCTGGCAGAACATTGTATTTTAATCAAGATCTCGAAACAAGCTTACAGAATGACCTTCGAAGCAAAGAATAGCAATTCACCCTCTGTCCCTCTGCTATTTGAGCTTGTTTATTGAAGGATGACAATACCCAAGGCAGATGATTTTTAATAGCCATGGAAAAGAGCGTAGAGCAGCCATTGTTATTTCTAACAAAAGCAGCACTGGGATGTGATGCACCCGTGTGGAGATGCAGCAAGTAGTTGGTGTATGTCAGGCAACTGGATAAACCTGCCAAGTTCTTGGCTTCTTGGTTTTCCTGTGATTGGATTCTATGTATGACACTCAGAGAAGGTCAGTTTGTGATGGTCATCATTTGTCTGGTTTCAAGTCCCTGCTTACATTATAGAGTTAGCTAGTGGCACTGGACAGACTAAAAACTGATGCTTTCTTGAGATATTATTAAAATGAATGAGAATCAATTTGAATGGAGTCACCGCAATTAGTCGATTTGGTTGTGGGTGAATTTGTGCCTTTGACCAACAGCAAACAGTCTTGACAGTGGTGACATTTGAGGAAAGTGAGAGCTAGAGAGTACAAAATGCAGACAGCAGCGAGACTTATTAGCGGTGTTGCATCCACATTTATTTAAACCTCCTCTATCAGAGTATAAACTGCTCCACAAAAAAATTATGGTTTGTGGACAGTTGTGAGACAGCAAGTGATGGTAGAAATGTGTCATTGAAAATTTTAAACTAACTTATCTAGTTAAGCTTGTTATCAAGATTTCAAACCCAAAGACATCGCTGAGCCACTTTCTGGTGTGGTTAATGTTGGTGATGTTGAGTATTTTTTCTTATTGTCAACAAATCCAATGGAAATACCAAAACCAACAATGGTTCTGCTATCAGGCTTTGGCTGTGTAGCCAACAGCTTGTTCTTTTGTTATCAGACCTCATTTGTTGCCCAAAAACACATTGTTGTTTTTGGTCTTTCTGTGGGATTTGTTGACAGTAAGACACATATAGAGTAAAGCCAGCCTTATGTTTTAATAATTCATATGATGATTCATATGAAGACAATCGCTGCTAGGGCAGTCTGAGTGTTCACTCAGCTGTAATGTCATGCAACATTAGCTGTAACTGATGTCAGATGCCAAACGTATGTATTGTTTTGAGATGAAATCTATACCTCAACAAGCAAAACAATATGGGACAAACACTGCTGAAATGTTAAGTAGACAGGAGAAAGCATAATCCATAACACACTGGCAAATTTCATAATTTCTTTGATTGCATTGTACCCCAGTTAAGCTGTAAACACATGCACTTCAGATATAATCATTTCAATTTAAATAAATCAAAAGCAGCGAGGTGCCTTTGCAGGAGGAAAAAACAAACAAGATTAGCGGTTTCTTTCAGCTTCTGACTGGTTTGATCAATTCTCATAATCGTCCATGATAATAAGTCAAAATCAACACTGAGGGCATTTTGTACTGCATTTTAGAAGATAAATCAGGTTAATTATGCTTTGGGCAGCCTACTGCAGATCACTTGGCCTTCATATGGATAAAGCTATTTAAAATACAATATTCTAATCTGGGGGAAAGGAACACACATTTATCAGCCAGATAAAATCATTCCGAGAGAAAGAAAAAAACAGGGAAAGCAAGAGAAATACTGTTAATTTAATAATTTAGTATATTTTATGTTCTGCCTTTTATGTTGATGAAATAAATGATACTCAAAATGTTAAGGTTAGTTTACAACAAGTTGAACCTTTCTGTTTTATAACCGATATATATATATAACACAAAGAACATTGAGATGCTAATGCAACTAGAAAAACTCCAAACAAAAAAATGAAATATACTGTCTGCACTTCACTTGGCAGTGTTTTGCTGTATAGAGCCAGCTGTGTTAACAGCATACTGTACAATAAATGTTACATAAGCCAGCCTGGCAGATACTGTCAGTTTTGTTCATGCAGTTTATACTGTACAGCAAAGCTGATAAAGGAATGAATACCTTGTCTTTTGCAATAGAGCAAAGGCAGGAGGTTCAAGTGCACATTACATTCATTTAGTTGAAGTGTTTTGTACTAATCCATTACATCAATTGTATGTCTTATATTGACAAAAATCTTTAAAAGTAAATGTCTTAAATTTCATTTAGTGCAAAAGTAGCGACACTGTCACAAACTCACTGGTGTATTGTTGTCTTTTATTCAAATATACAATGCAATGTAATGAAGCGAAATAGCCCTCACTCCTAATAAATTACGTGTGATGAAGCACATTACCTAACCCACACTGCTTGAAACAGATAACCCTGGGTGGGAGACATCAAACATAAAGTAAAGAAGGCTTAATTGATTTTTTAAAATCCTGTTTATAACAGCAGAACCAATGCAATGACTCATAACTGCTCAGCAAAACCCTTCAGGCAAGAAGTTGACCTTGTTTGCAGACTTCCTTTTCATTTTTTAAGGGTTTATGAACACGTTTTCTTCTTCGGAAAAACACTTTGTCCCACCATATGGTAAGTGTTTCTATATGGTGCTGGGCTGATGTGTGATGTAGGTTTTTGTGGTAGAAATGACGCTTGCATATGGAAGCACAGCTGGCTGAGACAAACGCAACACCGATGCACGAAGAGCTAACTGACTCTAGGGAAAAGACACTAGAGAC